GTTTGTATTTATTCCTTTCTACACACTTTGAGGATTATTTTTTCTGTACTCCACGTGTTTAATCTGTGCGTGCTCCGACGGGGTGACAATCATCATGTTTATGCTTTTTTTTTTTTTTAAAGACAGTCTGACTGTCAGCCTTTCCCACAGCACTTCCCCGCTGTACAAGGAGACAGTATTGCTCTATGACCACAGGAGAAACAAGGTCCAGACTCAGAGAGCTTTTGTGCTTCCTGCTGGAGCACTGACTTCACCTGCACTGACTGTCGCCTTGCTGCGCCGCGGCGCGCGCTCCTCCAGCTGCAGGCAGTGTGGTCGTTCGGCATCCGACCGGAGGACGCACCGTCACGTAAACATGTAAACAGTTCGGCGTTCATTTTCGCACACCCGAACCAGGTCCAGATAAGTTATGTTTTTTTCCCCTCTTCATTTACGCTCTCAGCCTCGCTGCATCACCATGTGCCGCGGCGCGCTCTCCTCCAGCTGCAGGCGCGCCGTCACGTAAACATGTAAAAAGTGGTCCGGATAAGTTATGTTTTGTTTTTTTCCCCTCTTCATTTGCGCTCTCAGCCACGCTGCTTCCTGCTTCCTCTGTTTTGACTCCAGCCGGTTACATCATCAAAAAGAATTGCGCGGTTGGCCGGTAGACTACAGATCCCTATAATAGGACAAATTTATATCGTTTCTACCGTATATCGTTTATATTGCGCATTCCTATGTCAGAATAGCAGGGAATCAAACCACCAACTCTCAAAGTAGAGAAGTGACTACCCTAACCACTCATCCATATATCCAAACATTTACCCCAGAAGACAAATCAACCCAGAAGTTTATTAAAATAAAGAATTTAAATATTCTTGAATGGCCACGTCAGTCACCTGATCTCAACCCAGTTGAGCATTTCACCTGTTAAAGATTAAATGTCAGACAGAAACGCTCACAAACGAACAACAACTGAAACTGTAAAGACCTGGCAGAGCATTAAAAGTAGTCTGAACAAATCACCTTGTGATGTCCCTGAGTGTAGAGATGAGACTTCCAAATGCTTTAGTTCCTCAGTTTTCTGTGCAAACATTTGTTCAAATCACTGAATTAAAACTGTCTGAACTTCAACTGCATCTGAAATTACATCCATCCATCCAATCATATCCATCCATCCATCAATCATATCCATCCATCCATCCATCAATCATATCTATCCATCCATCCAATCATATCCATCCATCCATCCATCCATCCAATCATATCCATCCATCCATCCAATCATATCCATCCATCCATCCATCCAATCATATCCATCCATCCATCCAATCATATCCATCCATCCATCCAATCATATCCATCCATCCATCCATCATCCATCCATCTATCCATCCATCCATCCAGCCATCATCCAGCCATCATCCATCCATCCATCCATCCAATCATATCCATCCATCCATCATCCATCCATCTATCCATCTAATCATATCCATCCATCCATCTATCATCCAGCCATCATTCATCCATCCATCCATCCATTCATATCCATCCATCCATCCATCCATCTCCATCCATCCATCCATCCATCCATCCATCCATCCAATCATATCATCCATCCAATCATATCCATCCATCCATCCATCCATCCATCCATCATCCAGCCATCCATCCATCCATCCATCATCCATCCATCCATCATCCAGCCATCCATCCATCCATCCAAATCCATCCATCCTATCCCAGGTTGGGTTGTGGGGGCAGCAGCTTGAAGAGGGAAGCCCAGACCTCCCTCTCTTTCCTCAGCCACCCCTTCCAGCTCTTCTGGGAGGACTCCAAAGCATTTGAAATGTTTTGTTCAAAATTCGTTGTGTACAGAACAAAAATGAGGAAAATGTTGTCTCTGTCCAAATAGATATGAACCTAGCTGAAGTGTTGACATTTTGTGGGATTTAAAGTGTTTGTTGCTTTTTCAGCTCTTGTATCTATCTGTTGTAGGTGTGAATGTCCCAGAGATCCCCTGTGTGTCAATGCTCAGGCATCTATACCTGAAGTGGGTCCGGCTCACCAAACCTCAGCCGTTTAAGGACTTTTTGTGTGTTAACCTGAGAACCTTTGTCATGAGGAACTGTGCAGGGCCTACAAACTCCCTCAAATATGTCCCGCTAGTTACGGGTTTGGCAGCAGCACGGAATTTAGAGCAGCTGGAGCTGGTAAGAGTTCCTTTCCTTGGAGGTCTGATCCAACATGTTGTGGAGGACAGCTGGAGGTCAGGTGAGTATTTACCACAGTCATGAATGTTCTCAAAGCGTCTAAGTTAATTTAATGAGCCATAAATTTGATGTAACGTAATCCTAAAGGCTGTATGTGTATGCATAGGAGGATTTCGGAACCTCCATACCATTGTGTTTGGAGCTTGCAAGAATGCTTTGGAAGTGGATTTGGGTTATCTCATCATCACTGCTGCTCGCAGGTACTGAGCCATTCAATGTATTTTTGTTGAAAAATTTTAATGCATTTTTTGTAGATGATCTACAGCAGGAGATTCTCAGTTGAACTGAGGTCAGGACTTTGAACTGGACATTTAACTTGTTCTCCTTAAATCAATGGAGTGTTGTTTCTGCAGTGTGTTTAGGATCATTGGGCCTCATGCAAGAACCATTCGTATGAACAGATTTGTTCTTAAAGGGATTCCTGATTAGTTGTATCATTAGACTTTATTTGATAAACTTTTATTTTAACTGTAAAATAAAGACTGTAAAAATACTGTAGACTGTTTAGTTTTGTAAATTTTTAAAAATATATTTTAACATAAATGGGGCCATTTTATTTACACACAAAGCATTCTGGGTAAATGATGACGTGGATAGGTCCTCGGTGCAAGGCTGCTAGTGAGCTATATCCACCCTGAAGG